CAGGAACTTCCCCTCCCACCTTTTTTTTTTCTCAGTTCGGGAAACAGTTATCATGGAAGCTCAGTGGATAGATATTTGTCTCTATCTTACTGGCCTGAACTGGGTCACATTATCCTCTCTTGTCAACAGGGAATCTGGGGAGGTGAGAATTTAACAGAACATGTTACTGCCTTCCCAAAACTGAGGTTCTGTACATAAGGAAGAAAGAGAGATTAGATGTTCGGTAGGTTACTAGTACTATGTCATTCCTGAAATAAATTACAGGTACTGAGCACAGAAAAAAAATGGAGAAATAACTTCAGTCACACATATGATTGTCCGCCATTCTCAATGAGAATACACCCTAATGTTTGCATTAGGATAGGAAAATCTGGTCCCTCATTGATAACAGCTCCTACCTACTTCTTGTTTTATGAACATTGAATCGGGCTGAATAGCAATCTGGTTATTGACAACGTGCATTTTTCACACTGCGTTGCTCCAAAAGTCAGCCCAGCCACTTCACCTGGTATTCCAGTCAAGAAATAGCTATCTTTTCTTGAACATTGGAGGAAAAAATAACTTGCTGTGTTATAGACTTTTGAGAGTTAGCATATTTAAGAGATTTTTGAGGGTGATTTTGACTCTAGCTAGTTTTCACAGGTACACTGACTTTAGCTTCCAGTGGCCGTGTAAGATGCAACTTCACCGAAAATCTGAGTTAGGGCTGTAACTGATAAAAAGGAGTGACATTCATATTAGCTCACTGATTTTTGAGAGTGGGGGATAGTTCAAGCTTGAATAACCCTCTTTTCTCTTTTTCCCTTTCCACCAGTCTGAGATGCCTGAAGAAGAAAAAGTTGACTCTTCCACACAAGTGGTGCTTTGGTACCCTGAGCTCATTCATTTTACTCCACGCCAAACAGAATCCCTGAGAACTCCTGAGTTAGAATCGAATAGAATCGAATCAACTAGAATAGAATAGAATTTGTTGGTGGTTTGCAATTGTGTTATTGTCCATTTGTTCACAAAAGTTAAACTTTTGTATTAAAATTTGGCAAGAAAAAAAAGGAAGTTCAGGATGTTTAACAACGTGGAGTGTTGTGGCTTTTTTAAAACATGATTTTAAAAGTAAAATTGATTTTTACTTGAGAATGTCAAGTTTTGTGGGGAAAAGTATTTTAGCAGCATCTGTATACATACTATTTAGTATATTCTTTGAAGGAGAATTTAATTTGAATGTGATGAAAATATCTCAGATGAAGATGAAGTATTTTGAAATAGTTTTTTCATTTAATCTACAAATATTCTAGTTTCTCCAGCACTTTAACAAAATTGCCAGATTTAGGAGAGGAGAAATATTCATCATGTGATTATTACTGAATGCTCTAATAACTTCTGAGCACATGAAGTTGCATATACAGTTGAGTGTTTGAATTTATTTTAGGAAAATGAAACCTATGCAATTTAAGGCCATCTACAAAGTAATTTTGTTCATGATTTGGATAAATAAAGTCAATGACTGTAGACTGAAAACAGTTTATTCATTATATAGTATAACTTGCTTATGTAATAGAGGTTATTTGTAGTTTAATCTGCCAAAACAAATGTTTATAACCCCAATTTGTCATTTTTTTCTTTAGAATTTTTATATGAGCTATATTGTAGTATACTGTAAACTTTATAGAATATAAAAACACTTATATTTTAAGTCCAGAGGATCTAATTAACCTTATTTTATTTAGGCACATTCAGTTTAGGGCTCACAGTCTCTGGCGACCTGAAGTTTTATGGATTTCAGTGTCATTACATCAACTGTCTTCATGGAAGGACATCTAAAGAATATGTATGACTTCTGGTAACTAATGAACATATATTTCAGAACTGTTTCCTGCGAGGCCTTGAGGTAGCTCATATGGTAGATGTTGGATGTGATCTTGGTTGTTAACGAGCTTAGTCTAAAGACACCCAGGTAACTGAAAATCTCAAGACTGTATGTGATAAGTGCCATAAATGAGGTATAAACTGAACACTATCAGAGTTGTGAGGAGGGAGAGGCCATTTTTGTTGAGGTGATCATGGATGGCTTCTTGGAGGAGAGGTCCCCTTTGAAATAGATCTGGAAGGTTGGGGGCGGGTTTTCTTCTGGTTAGTGAAGAGGGATTAACATGAACAATGGAACAGAGGCATAAAAATGCAGAATTTGTTTGAGGCCATAATGGAGTGTTAGTGGAAATTAAATTTGTTTAGGCTCAAACCGAAGTGCTTTAACTGGCTTGATAAGAAAGACTTTATTCTGTAAGTGAGAAAGAGCCACTGCAGACTTAATAGAGAATGGTACGATGAACACAGTGGTTTAGGAAGATCGATATGAAGCATGAAGACTGAATTCATTTTACCAGGAGATTTTAACGGTAGTTAAGGCCTCCACTGGAACAAAGGTCCTGGGAATGAACAAGAAGTGTGGAAAACAGCTGACAAGCGCTGTGCCAGGTTGCGTGTGAGACAAGTGAGGTGGGTGGCAGGACACAGGGATGGATGTACTCTTGTGGACATATGGAGGGAGGCTGGACTGTAGATGCTTTGACTGAGCTGATGATGTTCAGCCAGCAGGGGAGCAAGGACAGCAGCAGCTCCTCACCCAACCCCACTGACTTTGTCCTATGCTCTGGGCCCATGACAGCTGTGGATCATGCTCACCCCCTTTCTGACTCACTCCTATTGGGAACAGTCCTGCACCCAACCAGTCTGTGGCCTCAGCCTCCTTTGTCATTTCCAGTATCCTCCTGTGCTCTAACCTTCCATTTTCCACAGCAGCCCTTCCCTTTGTTTACTTCCATCTTCATGGTCCTTCCACAGCAGATTATCTCCTGGCTTTTGCACTTTTAAACACAGTCCAGCAGCATGAACAACTCTCATTTTCTTCCCTCCTTCCTAGCCCCTTGACTCCTTCCCTACCCTTCCTGTGACAAGAAGAGTCAGGCTGATTCTCTCCAAGGTTCAGGGTCCCGGTGGGATGATTTCAGTATGAGATTTGTTTGGGGCCATAGATGATAATATGGTGATTCAGTACTGAAGTATATTCTGACTATCTTTCCTGTGGAAACAAAGGGACCCAAGGCCTCACTTCCTCTGTTGCCCTATTGTGGGGAGTGGGAGGCTGGCTGCCAGATCCTCAGCCTCAACTTGCAGATTCATTCAGACTTTCCCTTCAACTGTGCATACCACAAACACATTCATTCTCTTTCCTGCTTGCTCACTCACCTTAGTTCTCTTTTAGCAACTACTGTAACCATTCCTTCATATCCCCAGTTCTTAGACATTATTTTCATGTGGCTTGTTTGATTTTGTTTTTCTGACTTCTCATTCACTCCGAAACCCCCTGCAATTTGCTTACTGCCTCCCCTTGACCAAACCTAATGCCTTTTTGTCAGTGATTGCCCACCTGACCTTCCTGTAGCATTTGATTCTGTTTAAATATTCTGGGACACTACTTTGTTTTCTTTCTCTGGCTACTTCCTCAGCCTCAAATTCTGATTAATTCTCTGGAAAGTGCTGGCTTTCTTGTCTCCTTGTCTTTTCTCAGGTGCAAATGGCTTCCTGGGCCTCAGCGCATTTGCACCTACCCACTAGACAAGCACCAACTGGGAATTGTGCACGTGCTTCAGACTGAATGTGTCCACAACTAACTCTCATCCTCTGCTGCCCCTGCCCCGTCTCAGTCCAGACCCTCCCCTGCTGAGCTCATGGCATCCCCATCCACTCCTGTCTCTAAGTTCAGAATCTTAACTTTGACTCTTACCCCTTCAAAATTGTGTGGCATCTCCCAGTGGAGTCTCCTATGTGATCTAGCGTAGATTTCCCCCAACTTGTGCAGGAAATGCCACAACTGTGCTTCTGCCCAGCTTCTTTCCCCAATAACTGCAGAGTTTCTGTCCACAACACCTATCCAACCCATTGTTTCCCCACTGAATACCATAATGGTTCCCTGTTAGCCTGGCACTCAAGGCTGTACATTTGCAGCCTTCTACCCGTCACCCTATCCTGAAGCCTCTTTACTAATAGAAGTTTCTGGAATGTGCTATGACAGCTGTGTTGTGCTGCTCCCTAACTTTGTTTCTTCTGCTGGAAGCCCTCTTCACCCAATTCTTCCCCTAGTGAGCCCCTAACTGTGCTTCTAGGCCCGGCTCTGGTTCTATTTTCTTAATATAAGGTCTTCCCCACCTCCCAACCCAAGTCACAGTTGACCAGCTTTCCTGTTGGCTTGCTCAGTGACTGTATTCATCTCTGAGGTCGCACTTAGCTCAGGAGGTGGTCATGGTTGGTTTACAGGCCTGTGGCCTAGCCTGCTCCCTGTATTCTCAAGCTTTGGTCACCTTTGTGCCTTAGGAGAAATGGAAGATGACCTAATTTGCAATTGCGGGAGGAGACAGAAGCAGGAGAACCTCTGGGCTCCTTCAGGGTCTCAGAAACCAAAGGACAAGAGAATTTTGAGAATGAGGCTATTAATCGTTTTATGTGGCAATGAAGTCAAGAAAAGGAGGAATAATTCCTACAGTGGGTCTTGGTCAAGGGAACACGTGATAGTAATTTTAAGTGTCAGCTTGGCTATGATGCCAAGTTGTTTGGTCCAACACTAGATGTTTTGTGAAATATTTTGTAGATGTGATTAATATTTAAGTCAGTAGACTTCGAGTAAAGCAGATTACTCTCCATAATGTGAGGGGCCTCATCCAGTCAGCTGAAAGCCTTAAGATAAAACACTGAGATTGCCCGAAGAAGAAGCAATCCTGCCTCAAGATGACAACATAGAAACCCTGCCTTAGTTTCCAGCCTATTGGCCCACCCTGCAGATTTCAGACTCAAGGCTGCACTATCAACTCTTACCTGACTTTCCAGCCTGCTAGCATTCCCTATAGATTTCACACTTGCCAGCCCCACAACTGTGTGAGCAAATTGCTTAAAATATATGTCTCGCTCTGTATCTATCATCCATCCATCTATCTGTCTATCCATCATCTATTTACCTATTTATCTATCTATCTATCATCATCTACCAACCTATTGAGATATAGATATATCTTATTCTGTTTTTTTCTAGAGAACTCTAGATAATACAGGATGTCTCTAAGCCAGTGTAGCTTAGACTTCTCCCAGGAGCCTATGAAATGAAGCATGATGTTTGTATGATAGGAAAGTGGGTGAGTGGGGGGTCAGGGTGGTGAAAATATATGGGCAATAAGTGCCAATGAGTCCAGAATATTTATGCTTTTTAGAAAATTAGTATATGTAAGTAAAGCAGTAAATTTCCAAGGTGAAAAAAACTGCCTTCCCTGTGGACTTCGAGCTTTGCATTAGGTCAAGGATAGCTGGAAAACTTGTTTCCAGATGAACTGAGATTTACTGAGTGAAAGGCCTAGATGTTCTTGGCCAGGCTTTTAATTTTCTGGTCATTTAATAGTTTGATTCTTCTGCTTATAATATAGTCATTATTACTGAGCAGATAATGGAGAAACAGATGCTGTCTGGATTCCAGAAGACTGGTCACTATTGGCCAAAGCCTTTTTTTTATTGGGAACTCAGTTAAGTTATGAGCTTGCCTTTATTTTTTCATTCGGCTATGTGTATGTGTAGCTCTGGGACACAGACCCTATATGTGTGTATCTCTGTAATACAGACCTTAGCTTATGTAGGACACTCTCATCACCAAGGTCAGAGGCCGATGGGTCTCAGTCTGTCTTTGTGGACTCTAGCTCATGCTGTGGGTTCTTCTTTGCTCTTGCTCTCCCCTACTCTACAACCATCCTCCCTTCCCAACTGCCTGCCCTGTGGACTTCAACATTAGGCACGGTAACAACAGCCTTATGGAGGCTGCTTAATTACTCCCACAACTGTGTAAGGTCAGATCCCTTTATGGATATATGTGGATATCTCCTAAAAGTTCTTCTCAGATTTTTGTTACCACAAGTAGAAAAAACTTAAAATATACCCCAAAAGGATAATTATTCATACTTAATGTCATTTCAACTGTCCTTGCCATTTTTCTCAAGCCAGAAATAGTAGTGTTATGAGCTGAATCAGAAATAACTTAGTGGTCTCAGCATTCACATTCAGCATTCCCTATAGATTTCACACTTGCCAGCCCTCACAGCTGTGTGAGCAAATTGCTTAAAGTATATCTGTCTCGCTCCATATCTATCTATCTATCTATCTATCTATCTATCTATCTATCTATCTATCTGTCATCATCATCATCATCATCATCATCATCATCATCATCATCTACCAACCTATTGAGTTATAGATATATCTTATTCCTTTTTTCTAGAGAACTCTGGATAATACAGGATGTCTCTAAGCCATGTAAATGATGTGTCAGTGAATCCTGACACGTTTAACAGATAACATAAATAGCACATTCTTACAGTATGATGACTTCCTGTTTCCCCACTAGGTAGTGTCCACTAGACCCTGGCTCCTTAAGAGCAGAGACCTTGTCTGTTTTCTTCACTATTTTATTCTAAACTCTGGCAATGCCAGGCCCATGGGAGGCACTCAAGAAATACTTGCTGAAGGAATGAATGGTGACTCCCATGAATGATGTAGGTGTTTACCTCTTAAATTTCCTTGAACAAAGTTCTAGCCTTGTCTATTTGGAGAATTTTTCACCCATCAAAAAACTAAGCTTGGGCATTGCCTCCTTTAAGAAAGTTTTCTTGGTAAGCCATTTTCAGTTTTTCTGTTATTTTATAACTAAATGTTTCACCATCTACTTTACCAGACTATGAATTCTAAGGGAAGATACTTCTGGGTCACTTCTGCTCTCTAGTGTAATACACAGCACTGGGCAAGTTAGAGTTGATGAATTTATCAATTGAACATTATTATTTCTAGAGTTTGTCAAAGCTCATAAAACTAAACTAGCATTAAAAAAATAAAGGCTAGTTCTTTCTGCACAAAGTGTGTTAGGTAGTACTTAAGTCTTTCAGAGAAATTTGCAACTTCTGATATTTGTTACTAGGGTCACAACCAACAGGAATGCTAAGTTCATTTCCCTCTTACTGTATGATATCAGCCTGGGCAAAACGACAGTATTTTTCCTTTTGTTGTTCAATATTCAGGAATCACACATTCAAATGCCTTTAGGGGTCAGTTAGGTTAATAGGCTAAATGATAACTGTGACAAATGTAAGAGGCCCCATCTCAAGGTTACAGACTGGTACACAAACACAAAGCCATGTGCCAAGAGCTTGGAGGGCACTGAGCATGGCTGGGCTCTGCCTGGGTGCAAACGTGATTTGGCCTCAGACACTGTCATAATGGGTTCCCAGTGTGTTGCTCCTAAGAGCCATAATGACTGCATTTACAAATTGCTCAATGAGGGTAAGCATGCTAGATAAACTTGTTCTCTTGGTGTCATATCTGTGTTCCCTCAGTGCAGTTTCTTAAGACAGTAAAATGACCTACAAATCAAAAGCTTTTACTCCCCACCCATGACCGAAAGTCATGTTTTACCGAAGGTCAAGGGATATTTTAGGTGACTGTAGTTAGTCTTGTAAGAGTAATTACTTCTTTATGTGCCCTGGAGTGGAAATCCTCCTTAAATATGTGAATGTAATTGATTTGAAGAAAGCCTGCCATAATAAAAACACACACTGAATTTTTCTTTATATGAAAAAACTAAGAAACTTATTTAAGTGAACATTTATCATGTATAAGCAGCTTTTAATTTGCAGCAACAGTTATTAGGCCTTACCAGAGACATAGGGTTTATCTTTAAGCACAAAGTTTTAATGATTTGGTTCTGCTCACTGTTTAAAATAATGAAATCCCTGCAGGTTAAGAGGCAGCTCTTTAAAATGTCTACTCTTCCCCTCCCAAACTCTAGCCCCCATTCAGATAATTAAAATGAGGTTTTCCCCCCTTCAGTGCCACCTCCCATTTAGTTTTCTTCCTCTTCCATTCCCTGCTCCCCTCCAGTCCTTCCTTAATGTACCCTGCCCTGTCTCCGTTACTATCCAGGAATTTAAGCAACTTCATAAGCAGACTTTGAGCACATCTTCTGTAGCTTTCTTTTGGACCTGTGTCTTATTCTCCTTAACACTGCATTCAAAACTCTACTCTTTACATTGAACAACACCAGTCTGTGATCCGGCCCCACGACCCCAACTTGTCTCCCAGGCTTCGCCATGGTCAACTCTCAGCTCACAGACCCACTCCTGATCTGCAGTAGCCTCTTGTCTGTCTGTCTGCAAAGGGTTTCAGAGCACTACACAGAGTTGTTTGTGCCTAATATGTCTCCCCAATCAATCCAGTGCTCCACCCAGTTTATCTATATGGCAGTTTGTTTGTTATAACCTTTACATCCACTGCTTATCTAATTGGTCTTAAATTTTTTTTTTTGTGAACGACCACTTTATGAAATAGTTTAACTTGGTATATGAATACTATATAAAGGTAATAATGTTGCCTAAAAGCTCATTGCTTGTTGAAATCAAGGAAGAATTAAACATCTGAAATCAATTGCTAAAATATCACTTTATTGTAAAAAAGATTCTCAAGTAATAGATCATTTAGAATTCCATGCAGACATACATTTTAATTTCTTTGAACCAGATAAGAAAAATCACAAATGCTTTACTTTAGTGTAAAAATCAATTTATTATACAACAATCATACAGAATGCTTTTTATTTATCTACAAAAGAAAAATGGCTTCTCCTGCCTCCCTGGCCACCCCAATCATGATACTATGTTCTCAAGATATAAATAAGTACTTTCAAAGGAAAACCAAAAAGGTGATATCCTTATATTCCAAATAAGCCCCAGAAACATCTTAAAACAATATGGAAATATTAGAAAGAACCAGAATGGTCTCTTACACACAAAGTGCTGTTCTGCCCATCAAGTATATGCCATTTCACCTTAAAAATAAGAAATACCTTTCTCATGGGGGACTTTATCCCCCAATATGCTTAAATAGTTCAATATATAATTTTGAAGGGTTGAAAATTTCTCTTATGTTTAATCCCATTAAGTAAATGTTCTATTTTAATTAAAAAAATAGAATTATTAACAGCTATGCTTAAGGTATACATTTAAATGTTTTCATTCTTATGAGTAAGAGGAAATTTAGGAATAAAACTTTCCATTTTTTTTTCTTTAACAGATTATAGATATTTTTATAATTTTGTTTTAGGAAAATAACATTAAAGGTAGACATTTCTTTTTTTAAAGTTGTAACACTTAATGACAGGTTAAAATATTTACCTGATTCAATTTTAGTGGGTAAGATTTATAGCTCTGTGTATTTTTACTGGCCCTTGAATGCTATAAGGCTCTAAGTGTTTTATTAAGCTTCTCTAGAATTAAAGACCAATTGGAAATAAGCATCCTGAAACTTTTAAATTGAGCTTGAAGTGTAAACTACCCAAGTTTTCCTCTTTGATCTGAGGTCAAGCTGCCCAATCCTTAGAGCTCCTTGGCTTTGTCATTCTGTTGAATGAAGGCTACCCTCCCTTCTCTGCGGATATGAAGCCCACGAAAGCACCTAGAATGGCAGGTCTGATGCTCAGCAACGAGCCTTAAGGGTCTCAGTGACAAATAAGTGGAATACAATGAATATCTGTCTTCAGAGTCTCATTTTTACCTGAAATGTACTTTGAGAACAGATTTTAGCCCATGTTTGAGACCTGAAACTGAACTAGTCCAATTGCTCCAAAGGCTTTCTCCTTAGTCCAACTTGTGTTTATCATAGAGGAGCAATAACAGTCATAGTTAGCCCTTGTTTTAACATAAGGTTCTGGGAGAGAACAATGCTTATAATAATACAGTTATAATGTCATGGAAGTGGGGATTAAGGACCCTAGAGCAAGTCACTTTCAGAAAACTATTTAGAAAAATAAATCCAAAAATAAATGGGCATCAGACAGAGATGTCTGTTCAGTAGAAATGGATCAACTAGTAGAGAAGGAGATGTTACAGGGCACAACACTTTCACTATTAAGATTAGTCTAAGATCAGACAATTAAAAAAAAGTGGGCCAGATTCCTGAGTGGGTAGTTTACATGAAAGACAAGTTAGAAAAGTCCGTACAATGTCAGTGTAAAATGTCAGTACAAAAGTCAGTGTTTATTAAAAAAAAAAAACAGGAAAAATAATTTAAAAATTAGAACTGTGGTGGTGGGGGGAGCAAAAGGACAGGGAGGCACTCCCAAACAGACTGGAATGTGTTGCGACAATGTTGACAATGCCCTTCTGGCTCTTAAGCCTTTGATGTCAACATTATGACCTAAAAACTTATTTTAAAAGAAGGGGTAGGGTATAAATGCTTTTATAGGGTATAAGTCATCATCACATCTTCAGAAAGTATTGTTTCCATTCTCAGTGCAATGTAATAGTAACAGTAACCATCCCACACTTAGGAAGGAAATATTTATTAATGCCTTCCGCTGCTTTTTTGCTTGATTCTCTGTAACATTGCATTACCTGAGCAGGGAAAGGATGTGCTTGGTTTGCCAATTCGCACACTTTCAGTGTGGCTTACTACCAGCTCATGGCTCAGTACTGACATCTTTCATAGTCTTCTGAGTTTTTCTTCCTGTTTTCAAAAACTTAACCTGCAAAGAGTGATAGCAGGTATTTGGGAATAATATTCACAACCAGGCTCACAAGAAATAGTTGACAAATTCAATGTCTATTTTGCACCTATTGCTTTGTTAATTCTGATTTATAAATGTTCCAGTGGCATATCATTCAAAGATAAAGGCAGACTGGACTTGAGGCCTTGTTCAGAAAGAAACGGGCAGCCAGGTTTAGATCCTGCTTTAAATATTGAGCGTTGTGTGTGGCTATACCTAGGTCAACTTAACATGAGAGGTAGACATGAATAATTAAGGAAACCAAACTAAAACTGAGAAAAAAAACTCCTATTCAAAGCCCCTGAGCTATAAGGGTTTGCCAGAAGATTTTTTTTCCCTTCTTAGAAAAACTAATCTTCAAAATAAAAAAAAAATACAAGTTTCATTACCATATCACTAAGTTGAGAATTAGGAGTGGCTGTGGAAATTAGGCTCTAGTTAAGAGAGAAAAGTTTTGCTAGATTTTTCATTTATGATCCCATTTTAATATTTTTCTGGGGTGGATTCCTAAAGTAACAAAGGGACTAATTACTTTATGTACTGACAATTATTGCTTAATATAGATTAGAACATACCCTGTATTTAGAAGATAACATTTTCTTTTAAACATTTTAATATGAACAAAACTCAACTTTTATTTGAAGATTTGCTGTGAAAAACAATGCTCCATGTTTCCTGGCTTTGATGTGTATAAGGCATTATAAAGACAGTCTCTAGTGAGGGGTTAAGTCTGGGGGATCAGGGGAAGGAGAGAGAAGTTGCGCCACTTCTGAGGTCTACAGAGTTCAGCCTCACCTCAGTGCTGACAGAAGCATTCAGTTAACCAATTAACCTAATAGCAAGATATTAATACAAATGATTTATAAACTCAAAAGAAATTAATTTATGCTAAAACATATATAACTTTCAATTCAGTCTTTGCTTTAAAACAAGCGAATCTGTTAGGCTATTATATATGCTTAGTCTGTTATTCGCTGTTTATTGTACTTTCTTGTTTATTACTCCGTTAGCTGCTGTGAAGTAGGCTTTGGAAAAACCATTCTTAACTTCTTTCCCTGCTGGTAATTCTTCCATCTCTTTCTTCATTGGCTTTTTTCGGTATGTCTGTGGATGTGTATATTTTGAAGAGAAAAAGAAAAAAGGATTCTTTAATAAGACCTTGTCTCTAATGTAGCATACAGTCTAAAACAGTGCATGATTTTCTTGGGTACTGGACTTTTTGATAAGTATTATTGTTTTTAATATGACAATTTTTAAGCTTCTGGTTAAAAATAAAAATAGAGTAAAAACAGGATGTATGCATGAATTCCCATAAAAGATTGTTTCTTTCACCTTATCTACACTAGGATAGTATTTATTATATATTACGGGATTAGCATTCAATTTATTCTGCATTAGTTGCTTACTTGGAAAGGATATATCTTTCGAGTTTTTTTTTTTTTCAATTCAGGTATAACTGACATACATATTCGTTTCAGATGTACAACATAACGAGTTACTATTTGTATATATTGTGAAATTATCACCACAAAAAGTCTAGTTAACATCCATCACCACATACAGTTAGACTTTTTTCTTGTGATGAGAACTTTTAAGATCTACTCTCTTAGCAATATATGCAATATAGTATTATTAACTATAGTTACCATGCTGTACATTATATCTCCATGACTTATTTAAGGACAATTTTTAAAAAATACAATTCAAGTGAAAAAAAGTACTGGTACCTGGGATTTTGGCTTGATTTGGGTTTTGGCATATCTCTGCTATTCTGACAAAATACATGCTCTCACCTCATTTTTACCATTTTTTTTTAAAGCAGTGGTAATAAGGGTTAAGTTTAAAAGAATATACTCAATTTTAAAGGACTAAGATTCAACTGAAGGAGCATGTAGGGTTAAAGCTTTGAGTGCCATTGCCGACCCCTGCTGGGCTATCGGCTTCCCTTCAAGTTTTGATACCAAAATGACTCCCTTAGCTTTCCCTTTAACATTCAGCTTTTTCCTTCTTTTTGTGGCTTTGGTTCTATCAATGGTTATTTCTTTAGAAATTTTGAAAGGAAACTCTTATCTCTTATGAAAGACAAAACCTAGCTAGTCCAATTTCGAAACACAAGTGCTGAAAAGCTATCAAAAGTTCAGTTCCCACAGTTGTACTTTGTCTAAAACCACTATGGGTTGACTTTCAGCAAATGCAAACTAAAAATTCAGAAAGCACTTGTTGTTTGTCTGAGGAAGAAAATACAATTGAATACAACTTCAGAAGTACTGTTTTGAATAGAAATGTTCTCATTTTTTTCGTGAAGCTTTCTATTTCTCCAGCCCACAAAGAAATGTAATTTTAAATCTACAACCACCTGAGGCCTGTGCTCTTACTGCTTTCATCAGTTCTTATATAATAGAGTTGCTGTGAAATTGCATTTTGAAGTTCTCTTCTATTTAAATTGTTAATTAAAAAGAAAATGACACTCAAGAAAAAGTCAGTGTGACCTTTCCACACTGGTTTGCCTTAAAACAATTATTTTTCCCTTAATTAAACAGTCTACAACATCACAGTAGCTGATATGGAAACAATTTTTTAATATTCAATTTAGTCTATGTTTTTCTCTCTATATATTTCCTGGATCTGTCTTACTATACACAGTGTTTAACTTTTAGACTTCAGACTTGGATAGCATCGTGCAAGTATATGATACAAATGCATAATAACTTTGACAAAACTTTATACGCATCCATTGAAAAATGTTTAATAGAATGCCCACTAGACCACTAACTGGTTATCCTTCGAGGAGGGCCTCCTCCGTGGTGAGAGGAATTAGGAATCCAAGTTTCACTTTTTACTTTGTGCTTCACCGTCATTAGAATTTATCAACAAGCATGAGCTACTATAAGATTTAATGGGTAAAATTAAACATAGTGCACAGTCTATTATGTTTTGCCACTGAATATTTACATTGAACCTACCTGGAAATAAAAATTTAAGAACAGGATGACTAGTGTAAGCATGTAAGAAGATTGGAAGATGAGGCACCCGAAAGGGAAGCCACATGGTTTCACGACAGCACTCATGGTGTGGGTGATGGTGAGCACGAACTGCACCTGGAAGGGTGGCAGAAAGGGCATCATGTGGAGTGAACCAAGCCGAGCCATATAAAAACCACTGTGAAGTTTCATACATTTAGAAATCAACTATTCTTACTCCCCAAAATTTGCAGTAATAAAACAAGAAAACACTAAAGCAGCTCACTATCCTATCCAGAAATTTTATTTAAAATTACATAATTATAATGCTCATTAACTCTCATGGGAAAGCAGTTGAAATGAAAGATAAAAATAACATGAACATTAGTTTTAAAAGTATTCATCTATATTCAAAGCAAGGAATAAGCTAATTGTACACAGAAAGGACATTTTAATAAATAAGGTTTCATTCTTAAAAGGCCATTTTTAGAGAAAAACAGGCAGCCTCATCACACATGGAAAAGCCTCTTCACCTCTAAGAAGACTGAGACTCCCTATTTCCTTTCCCCGATCCATGAAAATATTTATAAGCTTCACATGAAGAGGAGCTGAAAGGAGGGAGAACATACCAGTTGCGCCTGTGTGAGGTATTTCTTCCACCAAAGATACCTGTGCATCGATGGAAACACAGACAGTCCATAGTAGGAGTACATAAGAATGTGGATAAAACTGTTCAGAGTGGGTCCAAAGAAACCTACAAAAGTACCATATGAAAATTTACGCTCTTCTAGAAAGTAAGACTGTTCATTCTTTGTCCAGTGAGATCCTTCCTGCGTATCATAAAGACAAATAACAAATATGTCACTAACAATTCACACTGATAAACTCACCTTGTTTATTGTGACATTACTCCAGGATTCAGCAAAAGCTGCCTAAATAGAAACTGGGATAGTGTTTTAGCACGCCAACCAAAAAGGTAATTCCTGATGTGCAAAGGTTTTAGTGTACCTTTAACTCATTACTATTAGCTAATTGGGAAGAAAAAGAAATGTTAGCTTAAAGCTGATGGCAGAATTTCTTTGAGAGAGAAGTGTCTTTGTTTTAGCTAAACCTTTGATGAGCCATTTTGATTATACAAAGAGAGCCTTCAGTACATGGCTGAAGAAGATGCTCAAGAGTCAAGGAAAAATGTTGCTTTTCATAATTAAGTAAATGAAATCTACTTGAAAGAAATCTAGGAACCAGGAGATGCTGGGGAGGATGAGAAAAGACTGGGACTGGGGAGAGACTGGCTGGTGAGACCTTCCCAGTAGCTGGGGCATCTCATGGACTTTTAGAACAAGGAATATCTAAAATCCAATTAGGATATTCACTGTGCTAAGCTGTGCTAAAGCATGCCCTCTATCCCCTGCCATCATCTTTGTGAAATCTTTCTATAACTGCCATCAACATTGAGTGAATGCTGTTTCAGAACACCAAGGAGAAAGGACTAAGTTCTGTTGGGTCAACTAAGGTTTGAACAGATAGTAGTTGCAAGAGGTAGGATGTGAGAGACAGAGTATTTGTTGGAAATAAGGAACTCACTGTTGTGAGGATTAAATCAACCAAGACATATAAAATGCTTATTAGCATTTGCTTTGTGTTGGGTACTATTCTGTGTGTTAGCTTGGGATACAGATGGCTGGTCTAAGAGCTATCAATCCTGTGGCAGCGGAGACCACAGAGCTAGACAACCCCCCTCTATTAGCTCTGCTCCTTGGATATGTTACTTTGACCTTGTAAATTTTGATTTTCTCACCTGGAAAATAGGTATAATAATTACCTCTTAAGGTTGTGGTAGGATTAAAGGAGATAATATAACATTATATAAACTAAAAGGCACTGTACATGTGCTGGTTAATTAATCAGTTTAAATTCTCTAGTCTGGTTTCCCAGTACTGGATTAGAGATCTGAATAAATGCAAATCAGTGAATAAGAAATAAAAGGAATAACGCCATGCATCTAGGAAGTCCTTAAGAAACACTGGATGGAATAACTTGTTAAGGCACTAGAATATATATGAAAACACAAATATAGTTTCAGAGTACCAGGTAGCACAATATTAGTGATTTTTTTTTACCCACCTGAGATTTCATTGCCATCAATTAAAGAAAAACTGATAGTTGCTGCTAATAATTTTTATAATATTCTAGATTGAATAGAAATTGTCACACAGTATTTTATTCATAAGAATTGTATTTACACAATGATCATTTGAGACTTTTAGATGCTTAGTGATTTGTAATGAACCTGTTGACAACCACGAAAATACTTAATTTTGATAACTGTCTTTTGATGTCGATTATGGTCTATATATTGATCACAGTACAAGTCTGTTATAGTCTTAATAACTAAACTCAAGAAACCAGGTTGTCAGGCTAGGAGAGGTGCAAAAAGCATCTCTTTCAGCCCACTACACCTCCAGCAATTTCATTCTTCACATTGTATTTTATATTTGCATTTCACAGTCACCAAAATATTCCAAATATCCTTGGTGTTTTAAAAAATATCATCTCTACAAGAGTGTCATCCTGGGACAAAATTTTTGACTTAAGTTTTACCTGTTCTAATTTTTCATAGAATATTTTAAAATTCTTGGGTACAAGACAATATCAAATAGAAAATATGGGTCTCTCTAACTCAGTGTTTCTCAAACTGCAGGTCATAATGAACCTGTTAGTAAATCAATGCAGTGAAAGTTGTCATCAGCTTTTTGGAAAAGTGAAATAGAATTAAAGAAAAAACAAAACACCACAATGCATTATACAGAGCCAGGCTAAATATTGTCTCATGAAATTTTTGTTTCATACAAAATATATATATATGAATGAGTGCACTGGGTTGTGATATAAAATATATTATTTCTTATTGTGGTTCTTAGTGAAAAAAAAAAAAGCCACTACTCTAGTGGGTCAGCAATGAGACTTTAATTTTTCAGAATGGAAAAACAAGCCCTAAAAGTTGAAATGACTCAATCTATATCAGAGCCAAGTGGTAATTGTGGAAGGTGCCATATATATTTCTTAAGCCCTATTAGAGTAAAACTGCTCCAGCTAGAGTATGTGCTTCTGGCCATTGGATATTTGGTGCATGGAGAAGAAACTATTTTTAAAATTGAGGGTAATACTCATATTCTGCCAGTGTCGAAGACCATAATCTAAATGGCCATTGGCAAACACATGCTTCCCTGTGTGACAAAGCAGGCTATGCTGTGGCCTCCCTTCCCTCTGTCTTGGTCTGCATGTAGTACTCAACACAAGAGATTCACTAAAGGTCTCACAAGATCCATTACATGGAACTGAAAAATTAACAAAATAACTTACTTTGTCCACAAGGTATCCAGTTCAAAACACACCACCAGATGTTAAACATAGAGGCATGATGGTATACATGAAGAAAAGTAATCTGACTGGTTTTTTTCCGCAAAACAAAGAAAATGGTGTCCAGGAACTCTACTAATTTGGAGAAGTAGTACCACCATAACACCTTGGCTACCTGTAAGAATTTTAAAACGGGAAAAGAAAAGGCGAGCAATGAGAATGGCCTCGTGATGCCCTCCCTCTCAGCGTTGTGTCCTGTGCTTTACTAGTGTGCATCTCTCTCTCAGACCACTGAAAAGACACCTACCTGGTGTCTCTGACTCCAGTTTTAGTTTGTTCCCAGCAATCCACCCTACTCTAGTATTATCTTTCCAAAATACATATGTGATCAAGTTGCTCCTCTGCACCTAGAAACCCAATCCACGGTTCCTTGATTTATACAGGATCTTTCCCAGGCTTATGTGGGCTGGTATTTCCACCATCCTTCTCCAAGTGGCATCCACCTTAATGTTTGAGGGAATATTAAACCTTCAAAAATATTAAACCATAAACACAACAGTGACCTCTGGGGAATTGTATGGTATCCCAAAGTGCACTGGCCTGCAGTAATATACTAAAAATAAAATGGGTGTAGAGAAATCTACATTTTTTTTTGTATTATAGCTTTGAACATGTTTTCAAAATGTATATCTTAAAGATTTTAATTAAAGGCTTAATTAAAAGGTTAATTAATCCATGTTATTATGGAAATTTTCAAACATTTACAAATGTAGGAAGAATAAGTATAATGAACCCATTGAAAATATTTACAAATGTAGGAAGAATAAGTATAATGAACCGATGGGTTCATTATACTTATTCTTCCTACATTTGTAAATGTTTGAAAATATTTACAAATATTTTCAGTGGTATCTACCACTGAAATTCAGAATTTTCAATATGATTCCAATTTGTTGAATCAAGTCTATTTCACATCACTTTTCTTTTGGGGAGGGGGGAGTGTAGCATATAAAAAATCCAAAGTATCATATTTTATCTATAAAAACTTCTGATATGGAGACTATGTTTGTTTTAACATAACCACCATAACATTATCTGATAAAATGAACAATTCCTTAATATCTTTTAATAGCCCAGTCCATGTCCAAATCTCCCTCGAAAATGTCTCTTTAGAAATCAGGACCCAGACAAGGTTCAGCTTGCATTTATGATATCATTCTTAAGTCTCTTCTGATCAATAACAGTCTTTCTCCTTGCTCCTCTCCTTTTTTCATGTCTTTTATTTCTATTAAAGCTACAACAGTTGTATAGAATTCCAATATTATCGATTTGGATGGCTGTTTCTTCCTACTGTTGTTTCTCTATCCCCTACATTTTCTGTAACCAGCAATTAGATTGAGAGGATTGACTCGGCCAGGTTTAAGGCTTCTGGCAAGAATACTTTATAGGTGGTTCAGTGTACTTCCTATCTCATCATTTCAAGAGGGACATGATTGCTGATATTTATGAACAGCGAGTTCAGGTATTAATAGCCTAATCCAATCATTATGAAATTTCCATTCAATTTTTACCCACTAGTTTTATCATTTACAGTTCACTGCTGTCTAGATCCATTACTTCACAAGGAGTTACAAAATAGTGATTTTAATTCTCTTGTTACTTATGAATTTTTTCCTCTAGAGAGAACTCTTCCTCTTTATCAATCTGGAGATTCACATATGAAAGGCAAGAAAACATTTGATTCTTTCCCTTTTTTCCTAGAATGAGTTGGTGTCCTCGCAACCTTCAAAGGGTAACAATGAGGTTTCTTTTAGTATCATTTTAAACTCCTGTTTTAAAAAATAAATTTAATATGTTTCAATCCACTCCAATAGTATTCTTTTTGATAGTCAAACTGTCCCATATTCGGCATTGGAAGGCCCTTCACAGTGGTGGCTCCTACATCCTTCCTTCATGACTCTAGCAGTCTTTGATAGTTCTCTTGTTTTACGTCACAAGAGGTCCTAGATTCTTCTTATATACATTTCCTACCCAAACCATGAATTGGCTAATTCCCTAAGAACTCCAGTGGAAAATTACAGGATTTAGGGAACATAATCTGGGGATTCATTGCTTATCGTACTGGTTGTCACAGACTGACTAGGCCTTTTCTGTAGAGAGCTAAAAAAGAAAAAACATATTTATTTTAGAAATAACAAAGTTCTGATATTTCCGACTTGAATCTATGATTACTGGGTTTCATTTAATTTTTATTGATATCATCTTCCTTCTATGTTTAAATATTACTTGTAATAATATTATTATTATATACTTTATCCTACATGTACCTATAACAGTATCAAAAAAGCAATACCAAATTTTTATTAATAGCAACCGAAAAATTACTGAATATTCTTAAGATAAATCTCACTAGGGATATCTAGGCAAAACACTGATTTAATGTTACTTAAAATAATAATTCTTTGTGTGGTTATATCATCAACTTAATATATGGGTATATTCATTTATTTTAGTTTATTTCCAAGTTTTTTGGGGGGAGGATACCCTACTTTCTTTTTAGATTTAATTTCGTTTTATAATTATGTAAAAAACTTAATGGTTCCCAAATCAAATGTAAGACAAGGTACATTCAGAGAAGTCTAGCTTCCATCCATGTCCTCTCTGCCCTGTTCCCTCCCACAAAAAGAAACCACCTTAATTAACTACTGATTTATTCTGCCATTGTTTCTTTTTAAAAACAAAAGCAGAGTAGTTCCGCTCAAGATGGTGGAGTAGGTAAATGTTCTGCTTGCCTCCTCTCATGTCACATGAAAATTATAACTAAATTACAGAACAATTAACCTGGAGAACCATCTAAAGACTAGCTGAGCAGAACTCATAACTAAAGATATAAAGAAGAGGCCACACTGAAATTGGTAGTAGGGACAGAGACACAAAACAGACTGGCCCCAATCAGTGTGTGGCAGTTGAGCACGGGGAGGGAAATCTTGCTGTGGAGGTCCACTTTAAGAAGTGAGGGGCCCGAGACCCACACTGGGGATCCTCAGCCCAGGGTTCTAGTGCTGGGAAGAGGAGTCCCCACAAAATTTGGTGTAAAAATCAGCAGGGATTCTGATCATCTGGGTGAGATGGAAGATTGCTGGAAACCCAGACATCCTCTTAAGAGGCGCATGCACACTCACTTGCAGGCACTCACTCACCCTAGGCTCTGGCAGAGGGATAGCAAAACTAGACGCACCAAAGACTTACAAGGAAAGACTGGGTCATGTGGCTTCAGAGAGAGGGCTAGAGAGACAGCCACCCTTATCCTTGTGTTAAGCCCTCCTCCCACACAGCCAAAGCTGAATCCACGGCCTCGTGAACTCTACTCATTCCACCCTGCTGACTCCTTGAGACCCTGACCTACCCAACTTGTGCACTGCCAGAGGCATTTTTGTGGCTAGGCAACCAACACCACACTTAAGGGAGGAGGCTCTTTCAGCAGCAATCAAAAGGCAGCTCGCATGCTTCTTGAGATAATTTCAGAGGGTGGCAACAAGCCCTGGCCCAAGCAATAAAATATCTTGAACAAATCTGGGGGTCTGTGAGCCTGAGGTGGGCAGCAGCTGGCTTTGGTATGATCTGCAACTACTACAAGTGGCCATAGGCTCATCACAGGGGCCAAATCTGAATCTACACTAACCTGGTGAACACCACTTGCCCCTGTTGACTTCCTGGGACCCTGCCCTACTCAACTCATATGCTGCCTGAAGCTCTTTCAGCTCTTGAGCTTTATGGGCAGCTAGCAGACAGCCTTAGGCCTTGGGGTGATCTGGGCCTTTCATTCAGATTTTCCAGGCCAGATACTGGTGGCAGCCAGCTTTGGTTGGCTGGGTGGCCTCTCTCACGTGGTTTCAAGTACAGCACAGGCAAACAATCATGGATCACTTTGTAACTTCTACCAGGTAGCCCCAGGCTAGCTGCAGGTAGCAGTTGACCTTAGCCTGCATGGGAGCCCCTCCAAGGGGCAGAACCAACACACCCAGAGAATGGAGTCAGACCACAACAGAGCACCACCTGATTAGATCCACAAGCAGCATACCCAAAGGGTGATCTCAACAGGAACATGAGTCCTGCTAGGTCAGCCCCCACAGAGCAGCTCATATGCTGTGGGCATGGCCAATTCTCAGCCAGTTAGCCTGAGAGTTGATTCCACCCACTCATGTACCAACTGCAATTAAGACTCAACGGGAGGGGACAAAACCACACAAGGGACAGTCCTGGGCACAGGTGACTGCAACGGGAGGGGACAAAAACACACAAGGGACAGTCCTGGGCACAGGTGACCAGGGAGACTGCACCACTGGGCCACAAAGATCACCTACTACAAAAGACCATCTGGCCAATACTGGGGGATATGAAAGATCTACCTAATATACAGAAAGGAACACAAAGAGGCAGTTAAAATGAGAAAACAAAGAAACATGTCTCAAGTGAAAGAACAGAACAAAGTTCCATAAAAAGAACTAAATAAAATGGAGGCAAGCAATCTACCAGATATAGGGTTGAAAACACTGGTTGTAAAGATGCTCAAAGAACTTAGGGAATGAATAGATGATCACAGTGAGAACTTCAAAAAAGGGATAGTATGCATAAAAAGGGACAAGGACATAGAAACCATACAAAAGAACTAGTCAGAAATGAAGAACACAATAATCGAATTGAAGTATATACCAGAAAGAATCTACTGTAGTTTAGATGAAGCAGAGGACCAAATCAGTGAGTTGGAAGACAAGGGAGCAGAAAACTCTCAATTGGAACAATTAAAAAAAATTAGGATAGTTTAAGAGACCTCTGGACAGCATCAAGCACACCAACATCCACATTGTAGAGGTACCACTAGGAGAGGAGAGAGAGTAAGAACATGTACGAAGAAATAATAACTGAAAATTTACCTAATCTGGTTAAGGAAATCAACATACAAGTCCTGGAAGCACAAAGAGTCCCAAACAAGATGAACTCAAACAGACTCACACCAAGACAGACCAAATGGAAATGGTGAAGATTAAAGGCCAAACAGAGAATCCTAAAAGCAGCAAAAGAAAAGCAGCTATTTACTTACCAGGGAGCTCCCATCAGCTGATTTCTCAACAGAAACTTTGCAAGCCAGAAGATATTGGCAGGAAATATTCAAAGTAATGAAAAATGAACCTAGACCACTCTACAACCAAGACCACTCTACCCAGCAAGGCTATCAATTAAATTGAAGGTGAGATAAAGAGCTTCACAGACAGGAAAAAGCTAAAGGAGTTCATCACAACCAAGCTAGTACTACAAAAAATGTGAAAGGGCTTCGGTAAAAAGAAGAAGGGGGAAAAACATAATATGAATAATAAAATGGCAATAACTATGTACCTATCAATAATCACGTTTAATGTAAACGGATTAAATTCTCCAATCAAAAGTCATAGGGTAGCTGAATGGATAAGAAAACGAGATCCACATATATGCTGTCTACAAGAGATTCATTTCAAATTGAAAGACACACAGACTAAAAGTAAAGGAACGGAAAATGACATTTTATGCAAATGTAAATGGAAAAAAAAGCTGGGGTAGCAATACTTATTTCAGACAAAATAGTCTTTTAAACAAAGGCTGTAATAAGAGACAAAGAAGGGCCTTGCATAATGATAAACAGGTCAGTACAACAAGAGGATCCTAGCAAACATATATGCACCCAACATAGAAACACTTAAATGTATAAAGCAATTATTGACTGACATAAAGGGAGAGATCGACAGTAATAGTCACAGTACTATTAACACCCCATTGACACCAATGGACATGTCTTCCAGACAGAATATGGAAAAGGAAACAGTAGCCTTAGATGAGACTCTAGACCAGATGGATTTAATTGATATTTTCAGACTGCTTCACTCCAAAGCAGCAGAATATCC